AACCGGCGACCCTGTTGCTCAGAGCTCACACTCTTGAGTGATCTCTTAACCAACTGAGCCACTTGGCTGGCCTCTGAAGAACCATTTGGAAGAGAGTATATTAGTTTTCTCTAGCTGTGTAATAGACTTAGCCATTTAATACAACACAGATTTATTACCTGACAGTTTCCATGGATCATCAGCCTGGCACAGGTTAGCTGGGTCCTCTGCTCAGGGTTTTACCAGACTGAAGTCAAGACGTCCGCGAAGCCTGTGATCTCATCTGAGACTCAGTGTCCTCTTCCAGGTTCCCAGGTTATTGACAGGATTCAGTTTCTTGCAGTTGTAGGACTGAGACCACTAATTTCTTGTTGGCCGTAAGGGGCCATTCTCAGCAGCTCGAGTCTACTTGCCATTTCCTGCCATGTGGTCCTATCCACAGCATGGCAGTTTGCTTTTTCAAGGCTAGCAGGAGAATCTCTGATGAAAACGATCCATCCCTTTTAAGAGCTTTCTCTGATTAAATCAGTTCTACCCAGGATGATCTCCCTTTGATTAACTGAAAAAGTCAGCTGATTTGGGGGCCATGATTATATCTTTAAAATCCTTTTACCTTTGTCATATAACATAATACAGTTATGGGAGTGAAATCCATCATATTTACAGTCCTGCCCACACTTAAGTTCTGTATATGTTATACAGAATATGTACACCAGGAGATGGGAACATTGGGGACCATCTTGGGATTCTGACGCAAAGGGCAAGAGTGAATGTGGAAAGATGAGTTTGGAGGCTATAGTACTCTTGAGGAGAAAGATGTTTGCTGCATTGTCTAGAATGGTGACATACTGATGGGCAGCAATAAATATATTTAGAAAGAAATTTAGGTGATAAAACCAACAGGATCTGGCAATGATTTGCTTAATGGAAAGCAAGAAAGAAGGAGTGTCAAAGATCAATCCTAATATTCTGGTTTACACAACTGTAAGAATATTGGTACTGTTCAGCAAGATAGGAAACACTAAATGAGATCTTGTTTGAGTAGGAAAATGTTAATTGGTATTTGGGCTTATTGAGGTTAAGCTGTGATAGGCAGGAGTGCATTTCAGAGAAAAGAGGCTAAGTATAATATTGGGAGTTATGGTATAAGTATCAGTACATTTTGGTAAATCTAGATTCTATCTGACTACAATATTTGATGAAAATAATAGTTACTACAAACTATAAATAGGTGGGTTTTAGTTTTTAGTTTAATATGAAGGTCTGTCTTTTAAATAAAAAATTCAACCCATTTACATTTATTGTGATAACCAATGTATTTTCTTATTCTTTGTTTTTTGTGTCTTATACTTGTTTATTTAGTTTTAAAATATGTTTGCTGAATTTGATCTGATTATCTTCATTCCTTTTTTCTCCCTGGGGAAAAGAGAATGGCAATTCCTTCTATATATTTTACTATGATTTTATTGATATTTTAAAGATACTTTGTTGATAACTTGCCTAAGTATGAAATTCTAGGGCCACATTCCTTTTCTTCTCAGAACTTGTAAACATTTCCCAATTATTTTCAAGTTGCTAGTGTTGAAGATAGAGAATTTGATATTTGTCTTCTCTTTGATAATAGTTAGGTAATAATTTTTTTTTTTTGTCTAGAAGCTTGAAACTTTCATTTTATTTTTCACTGAAATTCAGAAATTCATTCATCATCTATGTGGTAAATGGTAGTATTATCTCTATTTTGAAAATATACAAGCTGTAGCCTGAGAGTTTAAGAAACTTGACTAAGGTCACAAAGCTAGAGAAACTGGGTTTGGGAGATAGCCTAGTTGTTAATCATTACTCTCTACTTCCTCTAAACTTCAGTACTGAGATATAAATATGTACCTGAATATACATGCTTCAAAGTAAGTCCCTAGATGATAAATATATAAATTATTAGGATTTGTATTCTTCTAAGTGTTAAGGACTCAATTCTCTTAAGATACGTCCCCTTTAAATGTAGTACTTTTTAAATGTTGAATTTTCTTTAACTAATAGACTTTATGTTTTAGAACAATTTCAGATTTATAGAAAAACTGAGCAGATGGTACAGAAAGTTTCCATAAACTAGGGAAAGCTTGAAATGAAGGAAAAAAATAAATTGCATATCTATAATGAAGGAATTGTTACTCTGTCTAGTGATGGAGAAATTCTAGAGGTTACTGTCCATGACAAGCTGAAGACAACCAGGAATGTAATTGTGGTGGTGTGATTATGTTTTAAGAATCTGACTAGGACTCTGCAGATAACTGATGGCATTTGCGAATGGACTTAGTGCTCTGCCTGGAATTCTCTTCTCCACTTGAGCTGGCAGGTTCATTTGTTTACAAATTTCCTGTTATACCTTCTTTACCAGGTGAAATATATATACCCTAATTTTCAGTAAAACTATTTTTGAACTGGGTGAGCTACATTTTCCCTTATCTTTCAAGGCAGTTTTAGCCTAGATTCGCTTGAGTTGGACTAAATTAATGACTATATATATATAAAACTTCAATTATAGGCTATTTATATTGAGAGAAAAATGAATTTCTTATTCATGATAGTAAGCTTTCTGTTTTGGATGAGAGCAAAACACACTTTGTTATAGTATTTTAGTCAGATTATTGTCAATTTCACTTGTACTCCTAACCCTTTTCTTTTTTTTTCTTTTCTTCAGGCTGTGACAGTGAGGAACTCCATGGCCAAGTCTTTATATAGTGCCCTATTTGACTGGATAGTTTTTCGGATTAATCATGCACTTCTGAATAGTAAAGATTTGGAGCAAAATAGCAAGGTAGACATACACTGATTATGTATTTTTCCCAGAACACTTTTTCAGTAATATGGTTAATACGTGAAATTTAGAAAGACAGAATTATGTAAAAGTCATAAGAATCATCTTTTATCTGTATTCCCTGCTGTTTCCTCCTTATTTCTGTTTTTATTACCCTGTTCAGAGGAACTATTATTCTGTGTCTTTTCAGACTTTTTTTCTTATGTACTTATATTCCTAGAGATGTACATATACAGATTGCTTTTAAACATAAAAATATAATCATGCTATTGTTGATGCAAGAAATGTCCAAGCCTGTAGAGAATTTTTATAAGTGTTTTTTTTGGCCAAACTGACAAAATATGCCGGGGAGCAAGATATCAGATGCTGTGGAGAATAATAGTTTTGCAGTTTCTTTTATGCATTTGAAATTAAGGAGGGGACTAAGGAAGATTACAGGAAGGTGGGAGGAAGCAACTCGGGGATTGGNAAAAAGGTTAAGGTTTTATGTTTAATCTTTGGCTGTTCATTTTTAATTTTACTACATTTTATGAAGGTAAAGTGCCTCAAATTGTTTTAATTTTTTGGAATTTGGGGACTGAGCAATGGATGCCCCAGAAGAAGGTATGTTTTCTTTTTGGTGTTATCATATTTAAAAAATGATTGATGTATCATGAATTGCTGGTGTCATTCTGTTGTTTCATAACTTAGTTTCTCCTTGTAGTCTAATCTTTTTTGATATATTTTATATTTATATCATATTGTCTATATAAAATTTTATGCAAATTCTGCCTTTATTGTGTATGGATGCTTTTACAAGATACCCGTGTTTTATCATTTCATGCTCATCAGTGTAGCCAAATCAAAGTCTGATAGTACCAAGTATAGTCAAGGTTTGAAGAAACAGAAACTCTCAGTGCTGCTGCTGAGAGAGCAAATTTGTAAATTTGCTACTGTAAAGTTTCTGTATAAAACTGTGTATAGGAGTTTGACAATATCCTATAAAACTGAAAATGTACACTATAACTTGGTAATCCCACTTTTAGGTATATACTTCAGAGAAACTCTTGAACTCATATGCAGTAATATTCACTGCAGCTTATTTTCTAATAGTGCAAAAGTGTAAATAGTGTAAATGGATTACACACAGTGGTGATTTATATACTGGGTTGCTATATAGCAATTGAAATGAATAAGCTTGATATAAATTATCAACATAGATCTCAAAAATGTCTGGGACTGTGATACCATACAGATAAGTGTTAAATACACTAGACAGTATAATATAGTGTTTATGAATACATCTAATATTTCATATGTATAAATACACGAACCAAAATGATACATACCAAATGTATGATAGAATTGGCTTCTAGAGAGTAAGAACAAAGGTAGCATCAACTTTATCTTAAAGTTTAACATCTATAAATAAAAATGAACATCTGAAACATAAATTAGTACCCATTTAAAAATTTTTGGAATTCAAGTCCTTTTCTCCAGGTTGTAGGATTATGGTTGATCGTCTTAAAATGTTTTTTGTACTATTCTATACTTTCCATATTTTGCACAATGAAACGTTTTCCCCCATTATGATCAGAAAGAAAAGTTTAATTTTAAAAGACCCATCTGTCTTATTTACCCTTTGTTTTCTTTCGTTTTTAAAAATTAAATTTATTGGGGTGATTTATGGTTAGTAAAATTGTATAGGTTTCAAGGGGGGATGGGTGAGAAAGGTGAAGGGATTAGGAAGTACAAATTGGTAGTCACAAAATTGTCACAGGGATGTGAAATATAGTGTGGGGAATATAATCAGTAATGTTGTAAAGACTATGTAGAGTGTCAGATGGGTACTGGAGTTGGGGGGAATCACTTCATAAATTATATAAATGCCTAATCACTGTGCTGTACACCTGAAACTAATATAAAATAATATTCAATATCAACTTATATATATATATACATATATATATATACATATATATATATATGTCACAAAATGTACAGCATATGGAATATAGTCAATGGTATTGTAATAGCTGTGTATACTATCAGAATGGTAGTAGACTTGTTGGGGTTATGACTTTGTGAGGGGTGTAAATGTATAATCATTATGTTGTTTTGCACACCTGAAACTAATAATTATAAAAAATTATATAGGTTTCAAGTGTGCAATTCTGTATCATCTATATATTGCATTTTGTTTTCACCACTCATAGTCAGTTCTCCTTCCGTCAATTCCATCACCATGTATTTGACCCCCTTTAACCTTTCTTTCCTTTCCTTTCCTTTCCTTTCCTTTCCTTTCCTTTCCTTTCCTTTCCTTTCCTTTCCTTTCCTTTCCTTTCTTTCTCTTTCTCTCTTTCTCTGTCTTTCTTTCTTTTCTCTTCTCTCTTCTCTTCTCTTCTCTTCTCTTTTCTTCTTTTCTTTTGTTTCTTTTTGGAAATGGGGTGAGTAGGACACTTACATTCCACTTTTGACAATATTCAAATTTCCCAGTGTACTGTTTTTGTTTTTCTCTACTGTATATTTGCTAATCTCATGAATTTATTCTCTATGTCTTTTTAATAAATAATTCAACTCATTGTCATAAATCTTATGTATTGAATTTGCTTTTCTACTTAATAGGTTAAAGAAGAGATGCTATTTGAAGCATTAGTTACAAGGAAGACTGTGACAGTGGGAGAAAAGCTTATTTTACCATACAAGCTCGCAGAGGTATGAATAGATTTTCTCTGAAATCCAAATACTCTGAACAGTGTTTAGAAGTTTGGGTTTGTGCTTTTTCTCTTAACAGAATGAAAATAACAACAGAGAATGTTGCCTGAAGTATTTTCTGGGCACTTGAAATTTGATTGTGAACTTTCCATCTACTTGGAAATTGCAAGTTGAATGTGATTTTAAGCAATAGGCTTACATTTTTCTCCAAGGATCTTAATCTGTTCACCATTCTTAAGTTGTATATTACTAATATAGGGTGAATACATGGTAGGTAGAATGATAAATGAGCAGTATTTGACCTAATTGATTTTTTCTTCTTGGGGTAGTTACTTATTTTTGGCACCATATACTCTCCTGGCCAATTTTTTTTCATTGTTGGCCACCCCTGTGCAGTCCTTTGGTTTTTCTTTCTTCTTCAGCTTTGAAAGATGGGTGTCTGTGTCTTTGTCTTTTCCTGTCTATATTCTTTGTCTAATTTGTCTAGGTTATTTCCACAGTCTCATGGCTTTAAATAACTGTACAATGAAGCTTCTAGGTGAGATTTAAAGCTCTAGTGAGCCATTATTATTAGTACTACCGTAGGGTATAGGAGTAGGAAAATTATTGAAATGCTGACTGTTTTATAGTGTAATTTTATGAAAGTGATAAGAAATCAAACTATGACAATTATAAAAATAGGACAGCAATATGAGATTAGAAGACACGAAGGTGGGAAAATAGTGATTGAACTGTAGAGAATGCTTTCTGGGCAGACATTGACCCATTTCTGCCACTTTTTTGGGTCCCTCCTATTTGTACCTACAAGCCTACATTTCTTCATTATGTCAAGTATCTTATGTTACATTTTATAGTCAATAAAATAATAGAAATAATAGAAAAAGCCAAACCTTTAAAGAGTTTTGCCCTTCTTTTACATAAAGATTCACTGCTTTTATATTTGCTTTTATAACTTACTATAAAACATTTCTTTTTTTTATGTATTTTTTTTAACTTTAAATTTAACTTTCTGAGATTATTTTTATAGGGTCTGCTTTATTATTGTGTACATTTTAGTGTGTTATTTGGTTAGTGACTATTTGATAACCTTTGTGCCCAGAAATGTGCGAGACATTAGGTATAAAATGAGGAGCAGTTCTTAGGATTTTAGTATTTTATCTGAAGAGCAGTGGAAAGCTCTTACAATGTTTATGCAAAAAAGGTATCTTAGATGTTTTTTTAAAGGATCACTCTGGCAGCAGTGT